TCCTACTGAAAATAGAATCTTTGAAGGTTCCCTGACTCATTTCAGCATATGTCCTTAATTGCTAAATGTTGTCTTAAAGACTTTAAATAATTTTTTTCTCTAAGAATACAATTAATATGTTCATTATTTTGAAAGATTTGCCTGTTTATGTTCCAGATAACAGAACATACCACTTTCAGGCAGAGGATGAGCAAGACTATGTTGCGTAAGAACCTTTTCATTCCTGGAGTTACTAGAAAAGTTCATTTTTATCCAGTAATAAACGGGATTAATGTTGGCTTGTGAAATGGATGCATATTTTTGCATTTTTTTTCTCACAATGTGATTACCTGTGCTTGCCGATCTCTTTCCAGGTTACTTTTCCCCTAGCATGTCATTCCAGAGGGTCCTTTCAATTTAAAGAGGACTTCTTAGGACAGTCCAGTGATGAAATAGATACAAAAAATTCATGCTATTTTTATTATCAGATTTAATCGGTAGTACTTTTTTGCTTCTTTTTTAATATGAGCTTCCATGGCTCAGAACCTGGGTCTCCCTGGTGCCAGTCTAAACCCCTTAACCACTCTACCATGTTGGCTGTCATAACATTGGAATCATAATATTGGAATCTGTTGATTGCTTTGATTGCACAACAAATCAGAGCATTAGGCTTGCATTCATAGGAGGTGTGCTCATTCACATTGGTCTTCAGTCAAGTGACAAGTGAATGTTAAAGCACCAAGTTAGGTCAGGTCACAATTAAATGAAGTCTGTGAACAGTCAGTCCTCTCCTTGATTTTACAATGAACTGCATATCCCACGTCTATGATGCGCAGAGACCATCTGTGATACTTTATACAGTCATCTGTGTGTTTTCATAAATGATCTCCATCCCTTCATAGGCATTTTGTCTCTGTAGAACCTGGTAAATATTTTTGATTCAAAGAACTCATGAAAATACAAACGCCATTTCTTAATCTCTTTGGGAAATTAAGGTGGGGCCTTCACATGTAAAAGCTGAATTCTAGAATAGTCTAAATTATATCCGTTGAGGTAAAAAAGCCCAAGGTGTGAAGTCTGAAATTTTAAAGATACATGTTTAAAAGTTAGAAATAGAAAAGAAAATTTGAAATACAAAATATAAAGAAAAGGAAAAGAAAAAGAAGGGAGGAAATTAGACATGTTAAGATTGCATCAGAAATAAAACCGGGACTGGGAAGGAGTGACGTTAGGGATGCTC